CCCGGATCTAAAACTAACCTCTTGGTCTAATCCATACTCGCTGAATAACTAGATCAACAACAACATCGGGACCTCTCATCTGTTTATCACACATCAACTATCTACCCATGTTCTACCCAACATATTAGTAGATAAAAATATATATTTTTATACATAGTTTAAAACCTGTATAACATTCTCATTCAATACCTATTCCACATAACAGATGAGGCATACCCACATAACACGTATTTCATAGAGAATAAATCAGATCTATGAGATAGAAGAAAGTGAATATACATTTGCGCATATAACAAAAAAATATACACATAACACGTATTTTATACTAAATACTTAATAATTATGCGTTAGAAGAAAGTAACCACACACTCACTTGATTAGAAGATGATCGGACAGCACTACGACTTGTAGAAGTAGTATTCTTCGGTAGATCTGGAAGATCTTCACAAAAACCGGGCTCCTCGCGGGCAGAGCTTCGGCTCGGGAATCACACTTCTCGGGATCTTCGGGGCCTCGAGACTTGCTTCGGGGCTCGAGAATGATATCGGGGCTTCGGGATAATTCATTCACGAAAAACGATGCAAAAACGCGAGAAAACGAGAAGAAATGAGCAAAGAATTCGATTGCCCTCGACACCCTTTTATAGGGGGCTGATACACGAATTACGATGGGCGTAATGGGGATAAGAACGCTGACTCCCCCCCTTCCGGATAATATCGAATTTATATTTAAATTAAATATCGAAAATATTTAATAAACTTCAAAAATTCATATCTTCCTCATACGAACTCCGTTTTCGACGTTCTTTATATCCCCGTGTAGGTGAGACTACGCTCTACAACTTTCGTTTAGAATCCGTCGGCTAATTTTGACTTTTTTTTATTATTTATTTTTAGTAGGCCATGATAAGAAAACTCCGTTATTAAATCATAACTTCTTCATTTGACGTCCATTTTCGCCTATCTTTTTATCGTTTTACTACAATTAATGAGATCTTCGATTCTCATTTAGATTGTTTCGGCTAAAAACCGTTCGATCTCAAATCGAGTATTCGGGCTGCATACCGCTAAGTCGAAACTTAGAAAAATCATAACTTCCTCATACAAAGTCAGATTTGGACATTCTTTTTATGCACACTCATGGTTTAACGAACTCTATGAATTTCATTTAGATTGCTAAGGCTAAATATCACTTTAACGTAAATTCAATTTTTACATCATTCAGCGTCGTGCCGGTTCTGCCGCGAAACTTCGACAGGTCATAACTTCTTCGTTATAACTCGGATTTTGGCGTTCTTTATATGCACGGAAACCTTGTAACATATACTATAACTTAGTTAAGATTATTCATTCTAAATAATATTTCATCAAAAATTCATTTTTGACGCCTATCGTCTCTAAATTGACTAGCCTGGATCTACGGGCGTTACACCGGTGGACTGAAGACCAGGTGCGGGCGGACCAGTCACACTGTAGACTCGATATACATGGCTAGACTCGGAGAGTGGACCAGGTGGACTGAAGGCTCGGTGCGGGCGGACCAATCACACTGTTGACTCGATATGCATGGTTGTTATGTATTGTGATATGATATGAGTATGGTTATATGTGGTTGGTATTTTGGGGGTAACTCACTAAGCTTTTGGGCATACAGTTTCAGTGTTTTGTTTCAGGTACTTTAGGAGATCGTGGTAAGGCGAAGGCGTGATCGTACCGCTTCTCATATTTCATGATTTTGTGATTAGGTTATGGGGATATTCTGATGTTTAAACTCTTTTGAAAACAAGTTATAAAAACTAAATGGCTTTTGAATAAGTTAAAATGTTTTAAATTGGTGCAAATTTTTATGAGTGTTACAAATTGTAACATAAACACCACATAGACTCCAAATCGTTGTGTGTTATAGTTGTAATTTTGAAGAATCTTAGTAACTAATTACTTTTACATATATTAAAATGACTCAACGATAATATACAAAATAGTTTGAAGCTAAATTGTGGCATAAACCCTTTTATGTTTATTCTTTTTGGCAAGGGGTCTTCCTAACGAGGGTTTCGAATCAGTTTCGCGCACCGACTAATCCTCCAATGCAAACATGAGACTATGACTCATGTCGTGGAGTCACTGCAGACAAACTTCCATGACCATAAGGGTTGAGTAGTGTCAATATTTGAATATGGGTCAATAAGTTATCCATCATATCTTCCACATATTTTACCAAGTCACCACAAACTAATTAGTTGTTTTATATTTTTAATATATCAACTTAAAATGCTAAATGATCTTTTTCCTAGTTTAATAATGATTTTTTTAGAGGCTTCATAGGTTATTTCGGTTTGTTTGTTTTTTTAGAACCTTTTTTTATCATTTTTGTCTACATCATGCAAAGGTTAACTTACAGACCATTTGTTTTTAAAAATAGAGACCTAAAAAGATGCACACCATCACATGAGAATCATTTCTCACCTCTTATAACCTAAACAAACACTCACAATAGGAGAAAAAAATAAAAAATAAAAATAAAAAAATAAAAACTCTCCATGACACTTCTCTTTTTCCATTTGATTTATGTTTTTCAAAGTTGAAGATTAGACAAAACTGCAAATTTGGTCCCTGTGGTATTTAAAAAACTTTGAATAGGGTTCAAAAAGTTTTCAACTTGCATGGACCGTCCAAAATCAAGAATTTACTGTGATTTTGGTCTAAAAAACGTGAAAAGACGGCCCTTTTATTTTCTTTTTTGTATTTTTTATAATCATTCTAATACTTTTTTATTTTAAAAAAAAGAATTATCCCCCACCCCACCTACCCCCACAGTTCTCTCTCTCTCTCTCTCTCTCTCTCTCTCTCTCTCTCTCTCTCTCTTTCTCAATTTGTTCTGATTCTCGTCTATATGAGCTTTCAAACAAGAACCAGTTATGAAATGATTATTAAAATTTGGAAGAAGTAAGAAAATCAAACCCAATTGTATGTCTGTGTTTGATTTTCATATGTTGTATGTGAAAAGGGTGATATTTCTGGAAAAAGGTGTGGGTCGGACTAGAGTCTGTGGGCAAAAAAATTGAAGAACAAGAAGTTCAAAAGTGAAGCCTACCCCAAGATGAAGCATCCCACCATCTCCTATTTCTTTCCCCCCACCATTTTTCAGAAACCCATATCTACAGGCTTTTCTTTCAATTTGAATCTGCATTTGGATCGAGATTTGCAAGGGTGTGAGTTTTTCATCATCAATTTATGGGTTTTGCATCATTGTGTGTGTGTGTGTTTATTGTGTTGTATGTGTATGAATGTGTTGAAGAAGATGAAGTGATTATTACAGCAACCCATGAATGATTATTACATCAACAGGGGTGAATAAGGCTCTGTATCCAAGACACTTCTTCTTTAGAAAGAGGTGAGAGAAGAAACCCATAGCATATGGTCATCGATGACTACTTCATGAGTGTGTTCAGGTATATGGTAGTATGTGTGAGAGAGAGAGAGAGAAGGGAGGATGACTAGAAGCTTTGATTGTGATGATGGGATTGTTCCGATGATGCTTAAGGTGTGATTAGGGCTTGGAAACCCTCAATTGGACCTTAATTCCTCACATTCGATGTCGTGCCCGTCATTACTAAACGTGGAAGGTAATATTTTCCTTTCCTAAATCTCCCTTCTCTTCTGATTCTTGGTTGATTGCTCATGTACGACATTCTCCTCTAACTACTTTTCTGGTTCTGAAGATGATGTTCCTGGGAAGAAGAGACAAGTGAATGAAGAGAATATTAATAAAATGTTGGATTTCATTTTCACCACCACCAGTGATGATAAGCAGCAGGTATGAACAAGTCTGATGCCCCTAAACTCTACTTGTTCATGTCACTTATCTCAAATCAAGATGACCAGGTGGTGTTTATGAAACTCATATGCAGGTAAACCAAGGAGGTGCCGATATTTTTTTTTATTCTAATTATATTCTGATGATTCATGGTGTCATGGAAGCTTCAATGTTTCGTAAACAATGTGTGTATGTAGTTTAAATTGCAGGTGAAGTGAGGGGAGAGAGAGAGAGAGAGAGAGAGAGAGAGAGAGAACGGTGGGGTAGGGGATAATTCTTTTTTTTCTTTTTTTTTTTAAATAAAAAAGTATTAGAATGATTATAAAAAATACAAAAAAGAAAATAAAATGGCAAAACCATCCTTTCAAGTTTTTGGACCAAAATCACAGTAAATTCTTGATTTTGGAGGGTCCATGCAAGTTGAAAACTTTTTGGACCCTATTCAAAATTTTTTGAATACTACAGGGATCAAATTTGCAGTTTTGTCTAAAGATTACAATTACACATTTATGCTTCTTATAGAAAATAACATTAGGTTAATGCATTACCACTTTGATCGGATAAAATTTAAAATATGATCTTTTAGCTATCACATTACAGTTTTAAAGTTGCAAATATGTGTAGCCAATTTCTTATGTATAGTTTCAATAAAAAAGTTTTTGTTCTAACAATAAAGAATAAGAATGACTTTTTCAAATAAAAAGTCATAGGTTCAATTTTTATTACAAACGTAGATGGTAATTTATGAGTATAGATTAGTTTTTCATTCAAAAAAATATATTCCAATAATTTTTATAAATTTTTATATGATAGAAAAATAAAATACACCTTTCAAATAAACAAACATCATTGTTGAACATGAAGGATAAAAGAGTACAATATTGACTTATAAGAAAAGCAAAAAGATTTTTCAAATTACCCGGATTAATTGGAGCAAAAGGTTCTACTTGCTAGAAGTGGCCCTCGCACACTCAATTCCTGTATCTCATCCAAATCGCACACACATATGGACACAATCCACAGTTGGAAGACAAGGTCATCTCGAGACTCGACTGCCCTTAAACAACAATCACCTCTTCTTCAATCTTGAGTCACATCCAATCAATACCCAATTCATAAAAACCATCGATTTCTGTCCCCTTTTCTTCCAAAACCCTCGAAGTTTTGATCTTCTCCGTACAAAAATGGAGGGCACATTCCTCCCAAACAGACCAGCTCTCCCTCTCCAGTTGACAAAACCTACACAATCAACCCAACAACAAAGACTCGGATTCAATCCAACAACTCTCCCGCCACAACCACCGTCTCCGCAATCTTTCCCCATTGATCCTCTCGTCCAACACCTCATTCACCTCTCTTCACCGCCACCGACCACCACCCACAAGCAGAAACCTATACGATCAGTAAAATCAAGCAACACCCACATCGAATTCCCTTCTACTCGCAGTTACTCAAAAAAGCATGCCCCCAATCGAACACATTTCAGGAAGCCTTATTCGAGTTCACTTCTTACCCTTGAAGACCCGAAAGTTCAATTGGCGGGTATTGATGGTGATGGTGATGGGTCGCTTGATTTTCTTTCAATTGAGTGTAAGTCTATGCTGGATTCTATCTTGGAACAGTCTTCATCCAGTTTACATTTATTCTTTTATTCCGTTAAGTTCAAATTGATTGAACTCGATTTGATTAGCCTATTAAAGGGTTTAGATCTTTCGGGTAACTGGGAAAAAGCCCTTTCTCTGTTCGAATGGGCACTGGAGGATTCAAGGACTAATCAAAGCTTCAATATTGACAACCAAATGATCGAATTAATGGTCAAAATCTTGGGTAGGGAGTCGCAACATACGATCATGTCAAAGCTCTTTGATAAGTATGGTGTTGGGGATTATTCTCTAGATGTTCGTGCTTTCACTACTATTATCCATTCGCATTCATGTACAGGAAAGTATGAAAAAGCCATTTACTTGTTTGATCGCATGAAAGCAATTGGACTTTCCCCAAATTTGGTCACTTACAATGTAATGTTGGATGTTTATGGGAAAATGGGTCGTTCTTGGGACAAAATCTTGAATCTGTTAACTGAAATGAAAACCGAAAAGCTTGAATTCGATGAGTTCACTTGTAGTACAGTGATATCCGCATGTGGTAGAGAAGGTTTATTAGAGGAAGCAAAGACATTTTTCGCGAGTCTAAAAGCTCAAGGCTATAAACCAGGAATCTTTACATACAATTCTCTACTCCAAGTGTTTGGGAAGGCTGGAATGTACTTAGAGGCATTAAACATCTTGAAAGAAATGGAGGAAAACAATTGCACACCCGATTTAGTCACTTATAATGAGCTTGTGGCTGCTTATGTGAGAGCAGGGTTCCATGAAAAGGGGGTTGATTTAATCAACACAATGGCTCAAAAGGGTCTAAAACCGAATGCAATCACGTATACAACGGTTATAGATGCATATGGGAAATGTGGAAAAGAAGATAAGGCGTTGAGTCTATTTAATGTAATGAAGAAATCCGGTTGTGTTCCTAATGTTTGTACTTATAATGCGATTCTTGGAATGTTAGGTCGAAAATCGAGGTCCGAAGAGATGATGGAGATTCTTCTCGATATGAAATCGAATCGAATTTCACCAAATCGTGTCACATGGAACACGATGCTTGCTATGTGTGGGCAAAAGGGTATGCATCTTTATATGAATTGGGTGTTACGTGAGATGAAAAGTTGTGGTTTTGAACCCGATAGGGACACGTTCAACACATTGATAAGTGCATATGGGAGGTGTGGATTGGAGATTGATGCGGGTGAAGTTTATCGGGAGATGATTAAAGTCGGGTTTAATCCGTGTATTACAACTTATAACGCGCTTTTGAACGCCTTAGCTCGTAAAGGGGATTGGAAATCTGGGGAATCGGTGATTCTAGACATGAAAAGTAAAGGGTTTAAGCTTACTGAAACCTCATATTCTTTGATGCTTCATTGCTACTCAAAAGGTCAAAACTTTAAAGGGTTAGATGCTATGGCAAAAGAGATATACGAAGGGAAGATCTTTCCAAGTTGGATGCTTCTTAGAACCCTAATCCTCGCAAATTTCAAATGTCGATCGCTTTCCGGGATGGAAAAAGCATTTCAAGAATTGCAAAAACACGGGTACAAACCGGATCTTGTTATATTCAACTCCATGCTTTCGATTTATGCAAGAAACAAGATTTATGATCGGGCCCGCAAGATTCTTGACTTGATTCATGAAAACGGATTGCAACCGGATCTTGTGACTTTTAACACATTAATGGATATGTATGCAAGAACTGGCGAGTGTTGGGAAGCCGAAGAGATTCTCAAAAGTGTACAAAATTCGGGTAGAAAACCGGATCTTGTGTCATATAATACCGTGATAAAAGCGTTTTGTAGGCAAGGTTTAATGGATGAAGCTAGAAGGGTACTTTCGGAAATGACAAATAACGGGATTCGGCCATGTATTGTTACATATAACACATTTGTTGCGGGGTTTGCGGCTCAGGGTTCGTTTTTAGAAGTAAACGATGTGATTAGTTATATGATTGAGCATGATTGTAAGCCAAATATGTTAACTTATAAGACAATTGTGGATGGATATTGTAGAGCTAAGAAGTATCAAGAAGCGTTAGAGTTTGTGGGGAATATTAGAAAAATGGATAGTTCGTTTGATGAGCATAGTTTGCAAATGCTTGCTTCTTGTGCTCGGACAAATGTGTTATGACGATTTTGCCCTTGAAATGTTATTCGTTGTTTTGTGGGTTGATGTTGCTTTTGAATATATTGCCCTTGCAATGACAAACTTCCATGGTGTTGTTTCAAGATTTGAAGGGCTTGCAACAGAAGGCAAACATTGAAGATCACCAAAGGTACATTTGTGAAAGGGAAATTTGTGGGAAATAGCAATGTACTTTACTCTTACCCATAATAGCAACATACTTATATCTGTTTGACCTCAAAAGTCAAAGCTTATAAATATGCTATGGAGTGATTGAAAATCTTTATCTTTTTTCCAGTTATTCTGTTACTTCATTCATCAAATTATATCACTATTGAGTTAAAGATTTCTTATAAGTAAAAATATACATCTCATTCTTGTTATGAAACACCTCTGTGAAACTATAAAATTTTCAACTGATTCAAGTAAGGCTGGGTTTGTTATATGTGACTGGAAAAGCTTTTTAAGGCTATTTTAAATGATGAGAGGGCATTTATGTCTTTTTCACAGATTAGAGATTTAGAGCTTGTTGTTGTCCCACCTTTTTACATCTTTTTGGACGCGATAAAAAGTTTCAATTTCTTGTAACAGATTTTTAACTAATTTGTTCTTTGCAGGAAATAAAGCTTCAAGCAAAATCAAAGGATGAAGGGTTTTGTGTTAGAGTCCAAGATTTCAAAACAAAAGTTATGTTTTATTTACTTATTGGTAAGAAAGTATCGGGTCTCTTTTTGTATTTAGAGGTATGTTTATTTATAGATCGGAATTTTCGTGTAAATGTTTGTAATTTATACCAAGAATCATGGGCTTTTTGGATCATATTTGTGTGTGATTCATTTTACATATGCTTTGCCCTTTCATCTTAGTGAATTTCCGAACAATAATGTTACAAAAACGTGTATCTTATGCAATAAAAATTATAGATTGTTTTTTAGTTTTTTTTTATGGTACTTGGTGGATCGTGTGTGAATTTAATCAAAATGACCAAATTCAAAGCTATCGTACAATTATCTGAAATTAGATACATGCTTAAATGAGTCGGTTCATACAATTTTGAGTATCGACATTTAATGTGTGTGTTGGAAGACAAAAGTATTTGTTGGAAATAGTGCTTTGTCACAATTGTTTGTAATATTATTATTAATATCCGAGTTATTTTGGGTTATACACGATGACAAATGTAAACGATATTGACAAAAAAAATCTGGGCTCATCTAGTTTCTTGCTAGATGCAACCCTTTTATAAAATCATTAAAAAAAAAAAAAAAAACGATATTGACAAAAGATGAATTATAAATATCTAGGTAGTTAATTAATTAAGTCTTTAATTAATTAATAATCAGAAATTCAAATAATTATCAAACTTAAGAATAATTACTTAGTGACTAAGTAATTATCTCTAAAGGGTTTAATTGTTTCCTATAAATAGAGGACTTCAAAATCGGATTCAAGATTAATAATCTAAAGTGAGAAAAACCCTAACATCTCGAGTTTTATAGGAAAGAAAAGAAAAAAAGAAAGAGAATAGGAAGAAAATAAAAGTTTTTTTTTTTTCTCTTCTTTTTTTCTTGCTCTCATTTCCTTGTAATCATCTCAAAAATGGGAGTAAATATTTAATGCAAAATAAGTTTTTGTCTAAGTTTTTTTTCTTTCCATTTCTTTTCCTTTCCTCCTTAATATGTTCTCAGGATTAAAAATTATTTTTAAAGAGGAGGAAAATGGAGGGAAGGGTAAAGAAAAGAAAAAATATGGAAGGAAAAATGGGAAAGGATAGATGTGTTCTTGAGTTTATGAAGAGGTAAAGAAAAATTATTGTTAAATGACAAATATACTTTTGAATAGAGTGTTAAAAAAATTGAAACTAAACTCCTTTAGCACTTATCTTTTTTAAAAAATTCATGCTAATTGTAAATTATAGCATCCTACTCTTATCATTGTTGTTGCGGTAATAAAAATTTTATTTCATTACTTCTTCTATTACTACATACCAAACACTATTAAATATTGTTAAAGATACAAATTATAAATATCAAAGTGTAAGACATCTAAAAATATATTCGAAAATTGCATCAAATAACTTTATTCTATATGCAAAATACTCAACGTATTAGATACTTGTTTTGTATATTTTTCTAGATTTTTTTTTCAAGAATAACACTTACAGTTTTTGTTTTTATTTTAATTTGGTCATTTTAGCATTTTACCGATAATCTTTCTGTTTTATATATTATTATTTTTTCATAGAAACCTTCATATTTACAAACTTTTTTTTAACCAACTATTTTTGGTTTGGCTCATTATTACTTTGTTTTTAATGTTGTAATTGTTGTTTATGTTGTTTGATAGTTTTGGATATTAAAATCTGATGAATGCATTTGATTTTTTTCAAAACATAAAGAAAGGATGTTGTGTGTGTGATTCTTATTGGCAAAATGGATATGAACATTCATTTATAGGATGCTTGGTGTAACCTCACAAAAATCATAGTAAACTTTTTATTTAAAAAAAAAAAGACATTTCCATAGAATCAGAAGTCACCAAAGCATTGTTTTACAACCATATCAAAATCAAGCTAATAAATCAGGGTATCTATCAAAACATAAAACCAGTAGAAGATGTGTACAATCATGCATTCAATAACATCCCAAAAACATGATCCAAAAATTTCATTTTTAATTTAAATAAAACTGTATTCCAAAAACATAATCCATACATCTCAAATGAAAATAAGTATCTCAATAACATAACAATTAGAGTGATTTCTCAAAAGTGGAATCCATGTGGTGAGTGTGATGCACTCATCCCACGCTCTTCCCCTTAGAACTAGAAGTACCTGAAACATAAACTAAAAATCATAAGCACAAAGCTTAGTGAGTTTCCCAAACTACCTTATACCATACATAATAAATCACATACTTACCCCCCCCCCCCGGCCTACATTGGGCCACGCCCGACATCGAGCCCCACTCAGTTTACATATCTGTTATTCTCAGGCCTCGCATGTCACTAGGCCTCGCCCACTATACAAATGCAATATATATCACATAATCATGCTAACACATATAATGATCATAAACACTAACATATGTTCCAATCCTCAGGCCTCGCCTCGACATCGAGCCCCGCCTGGTATACATAGCAACACATAACACATGCGAGGGTCACGCAGACTCCTAGCATCCTAGCATAATCAATAAGGGTAGGCATTGGTGCCTTAGACCCGCTAAACCGAGTGAGGAAACTCACCTCAAATGTTGAATCTCATTGAAAGAAATCCCTAGCTGCTACCTTGACGACTCCCCGAGCTAAACAATCCATACTTGGAGTAAAATAACCATTTTACCCCTAGCCTAGTTTGAACCAAAATTGAGGCCCAAATCCACAAACCAAAAAGGCCCAAAACCAATTGTTCCTCCAAGGCCCACCTATGGCCCATTTTTTCAAATTGGGACCAATCCCCCATATGGGTCTTTCCTTAAAGCCCAACATTTTTCCTTAGTCCAAAAGCTTGATTTCAGATGGCCCAATAAGGACCAAAGCAAAAGATCCAAAGAAGTGGCTCAACCAAGGCCCAAAAGATACGAAGCCCAATCAGACCGAGTACGCGGGGCGTACTCAGTTGTATGCTAAGCGTATTCGCTGCATGGCTTGTATGTTGTGCATACTGACTTGTACACCCAACATACTCCTCCATTAAGCCAACTTTTCCATTAAGCTCTTAATGCTTAAGTCCAACGGTCCAAAACACATATCTGAGTCCCAAAGAGTATCTAGAACCATAAAGTCGCTGACTTGGTGACTTTGCATGCCCCAAAAGATCCCAACTTCAATTTATAACATTCTACATTCATAAAAATGGCCATAACTCATGCACGGATGGACCTAAGCTTCAGAGATGACAACTTTATGAATCTAGGACCAAAAGAACACCAATAGTGGAAACTCTAAGCTTCAGAAGTGATATTAAACCACAAGATCTCATCTATGGGACCAAAAAGGGTCAAAAACTCAAACAAATGAGATCTAAGCTTCTAAAGAGCAAGATTAATGTAACATCCCAAAATACGACCCAAAATTTTTTGTTTAATCATTACTAAAATCATTAGATCAATACCATAAAATAAAACCCATACGCCAATGTATCAAAACCATAACAAAGTATCACAAGAAAATTGTATCAAGACTATATCAAATCATGTCAATGAAAAGCTAAATCAACTCCCGCGACAAAAACTGAAGTCGTGGTGTGTGCTATGTCATCATCCGAAGCTCTTCCCTTTACTTGCGGAGATACCTGAAACCAAAACTGAAACTGTAAGCACGAAGCTTAGTGAGCTCCCCCAAACTACCATATACCATACAGTAACATATAAACACATACTGGGCCTTGCCCACTGCATCGGACCGAAGTTCGGAAACTGTATCGGACCGCAGTCAGGAACTAACTAGGGCCTTGCCCACTGCATCAGACCGAAGCCTGAAAAACTACATCGGGCCGAAGTCCGGAACTAAATGGGACCTAGTCCCCTGCATCGGACCGAAGTTTGGAACTAACTGCATCGGATTGAAATCCGGAACTGACTAGGACCTTGTCCCCTACATCGGACCGAAGTCCGGAACACATAATACAAAACATAATTGAATCACAAAGACATCAAGCAATCTAACTACTACATCAGACCGAGGTCCGGAACTACTGTTAACTAAATGGGTCAGCATTGTAGTCGTAGACCCGTTCCTACTTGTAACACTCTAAAAATTTAAGCCAATTTAAACTTTTCAAAAACAACCCAGTTTCGTTAAATTATTACAAAAAGGTTTTCAATACAATTATTATCAGGTTTTTCCCATAACCATATCGTAAAACGTAAACATAAGGAGCGGTACGATCACGCCTTCGCCTTGCCACGGTCTCCTGAAGTACCTGAAAAACATTAAACCATAACTGTAATCCCAAAAGCTTAGTGAGATACCCCTAAAATACCAACCACATATTGCACGCATAA